AAAAACAATATTATCGATTTTTTTTGATAAAAAATACAAACATTTAAGATATCTTAAGTTATCGGTGATCTAAAAATAATTATAAGTTTTATAATATAATTTACAGCAACAAAATAAATTACGTAAATTTTAATTAAGTAGAACTACTATTAAAGTACAGGAACGTGGAATGACATTATTCTTAGAAACGTTTCTTAAAAAGATGATAAAAAGTGCAAACGAATATACTAATTGCACATTTATGTATTATAGCTAAGACGTTCGTAGTATGCAAGAGAACACTTAAGATAATAATTTACTGAACATTTCGTTGTGAAAGACTTAATTGTACTTAATTTGTTTCGTTTTTAATAAGCATCACAGAGCAATGTACAGATTGCATTTCAGTATATTACATATACATATAAAAGTTCTGCATCTTTGAACATATACATGAGATTATTATATTATATTTCTCATTTATTAGGGATTCCACGTTTAGTTCAATGAAATTAAAATTTGAAAAAAGGAAATGATCTTCTTATGAGTAGCAATTGTTAGATGTTTGTTATTATAAAGTAGGATGAGTGGAAGGTGATTCACTTTCTTCATCTTCCTCTAATTCATCATCTGTATCTGAAGATAAATGTTCTCTCAGAACTAAGGAACGCATTTGTTCTAATACCTGATGTAAAGAGTCCCTTTGTTCCATTCTGTCATTTAAAGGTGTAGCATCACCACTTGCTGTTCCACCAGCTGGTGTTTGTGGTGTATTACTTGGAGGAACTGGAGTATTTGTACCATCTCCCGTGCCTTTGAACATAAAATTATATTATTTAAGTACATAACGCTAAAACAACATTGCAATTTAATAACAAATAGTACTAAAATTCCAAAAGACAACTATGTTTACTATTCATTATACCCATATCATCGCTAGCAGGACTGGCTGGCCTTTCAGCTCCCCTTACTTCTCTAGTAATTTCCTCATCTTGATTATTTAATCTTAAGCCTGCAACTCCCTTTTTTGGAACATTATACAAATCACGTTTAATCTTCCTTCGCCTAGAAGGATCGTTTCTACGTAACTGAAGCATCGATCCAAAATCGGCGATATAAAGAAATCCTGCTATGAGCAGTTCACAATTCCGTTTGCCTTGTTTGTATGCAGTTTCTAATTCATGGCTTGTACGTTGATCATATTGCCACCAACCTGGAACAACATAATTAAGAATAAAATTAATTATATAAGTTGTTCACATGGTCTTCTGTCAGTGAAAGTCATGTTGATGGATGCTAATTATTTCAGTTAGGGTCTTAGTAAAGAAAAGTAACATATTCTGAAATAGTGATTTTATTACGAACTATACATCGAGACTAAACTGCAATTATTTTATAATAAAGTATATCTATAACAAAAACATAGAAACATCCTTGCACTTTTCATACCATACAATATGTATATATATTTGTGTGTAATTCTACAGTGGAATTTATAATGTATGATTTTGTATAATATTATACATTCACGTGTCATAAATGATTACGTGAAATATAAATATATTTAGAAATATTTCATGCCAATTACATGTGGAAAAGAGGAAGCATTTTCATTTTAATCCTGACACACCTTTGCAAGGTGCATCCTTTCTATCGCGTTTAATTTTACGTTTACAATATGGTTGAAGTTTTCTGTATTGACAATTATTTTTAAAGTCAATTACATATAACATTCCGCAAATTAAAATTTCACATTCTGCGCTACCTAGGTTGTAAATAGCTTCCAAATCCTTGCTGGTCCTTGAATCATATTTCCACCAACCTATGAAGGGGTAGCAGATAAACTTTTCTATAACTCCGTAATATGTTTTTAACGAATAATGAAGTTATTCATTTTTCATCC